TCGTAAAATTCGATAGAATAACTAACTTTGTTATTAGGTACAAAATAAATATTTTTGTTTCCTGTGAAGATAACTGGGAGTCTATAATGTTGTTAATTATGTACGTGATAAACAGACATACTAAAAACATTACGTGTAATATAAAAAACAATATCAAGATATTTCAATGTAAACATTGAGTCGAGTATTCTTATATAGTTTCTACTAATTTCATGTAAAAGGTTTTAATACCCTACGAGGCATACCGAGCGAGTATGTCCTAAAACATGGCTTTCCTGCGGTTGCCGTATGATAGCCAAGTAATTATATGTATTACACAAATAAAGATTGCTACGGTAACTAGAAAACGTTGTTTGTTAAGGAACTTTGACTGGCAATAGTTTCATATCTGCCTTGTTTAGGGTGTCTAAGTCACTAAATTCAGATTTCTAGTTTTATTCTGATATCAGGTTTTTGTTAAAGTTTTTGAGGGGTCGAAAACTGCATATCATTTCGTGTTTTCTTTTTGCTAGACTTGGCAGGGACACTACCGCGCCTCATAATTGCATCATGAGTGCCTACTTTGATCCAGGACATGTGCGATAATAGAAATATACCAACAGCGGTCGATTTGTACTTTAGGTCTATTCAAACAAACTAGGGTACAATATCAATGGTGTCATCAGTTCTAAGTGGCACTTATCTGTTATAATACTATCCTATCCTCAAACTGTTATATAAGACCAATAATATGATGTATCTAACCTACATATAAACAAGTACTACTACACAAATTATGACTATTCCTTATGTCACACAAAATAGTTATTTCAGAAACATGATAATGTTTTAAATGTTAACTAAAACTGCGTGTAAATATTTTAGAAGTTTAGGTAACATGAACACGCACCTTGTTTATTCTATATTTATCAAAATATTGCAAAGATTGCACGATACACTCGTGAACTTATTTATTATCTTCAGTTATCTGGTAAATAGGTAGTTATTTTCGAACCTAGTGTATTATGCTTCTAGCATTATGCGTCGAAACCAACCAGTTGGATAACGGCTCTTTTACCTTGTGTAATTTAATTACCGTTTCGAATATACAATAAAACCACTTATTAAGGTTTTCAGAAACCTACTCCCTTCTCCTCCCTTACTTTTTTAAGATATTTCATTATTGTTGTATTTAGCGCCCAAGTATCCCGTAAAAAATTGAGTGGGAAAAAATCTTAAGACCAATTAAGAATCTAGATACAAACTTCTCAATTAGTGACTACACGAAAAATGCAAATGCAAGCAATCTGGCGATAAATTACTTTGCTGTATTAAAAGCGGTGAAGATAATTGGTGAAAATATTTTCTTATTTGGAATGAAACCGAGATGAGTGAGAACGTACTAGCACAGAGGAATGACATCGTAAAACAAAATGAAACGTGCACTTCAATTTAGGACTCACGACGTTCATGAATATAATTGAATATAAGTTGGTATCAAATCTCACGTAATTAAACGGAACTTTTTAAATAATAAAAATACTTAAACTGGATTAGGTTTAAAACGTTGCAGATTTAATCTCGCGCGCTAAATATCTATCAATAATCGAAATAGCTATCGCAAAATTCTTATTATCAGGAGATAAAGTTTCAGAGACAGATTCAAATAAAAATAACCTGTCTATCTATAAATAAGTTGGTCAAAATTGAACAGTTTACAACGCAACATCAATACGGCTAATCAATGTGTGACTGTGAACTTCAGTAGTGTAAACCAAATCCTTGGCCTTTCCCCAGACGTCAAAGTCGATGACCTTGATATGCTTGCCCTAATTCATGGCTTGCACGGAGTGGTTCGATTCCCTGGACCTCGCGATCGCCAGATCTCACTTCTATCGACTTTAACGTCACTGTATAAAACTTAAAAAATAGAGTATTTTTTCTCCTTCATCAGAACTTAATTTTTATTCAATAACTATCACGCATTACCCGGGTGGCAACATGTGAAGTTGTAAACGAAAAATTTTATTTTTATTTTTGTCACTTATCTGCATGTATGTACATGTTAGCGTCAGAGTGATGATGAGTATTAAATGAAGCAGCTGCAATGATTTTCTCTAGGTTCAAAACATTATGATGACGTAGTAGTACAGACATATGGTATTTTTTATGGAAAATTTTGTGGAATTTTGAAAATTTGTATTTTTATAGATTGTGATGTGTTTCTTCCGAACTTCAACTTAGTCACTCCATCCAACCTGTTTATCGAGTGGATGACACATCGGCGTAGAATCGACTCAAATCAATTTTCCACTCAACGTTCCCCTACACTTTTCACAACTAATGGAAAACTTTCAGGTTCTTTTTGTCAAACCAAATGACTGTACTATAAGCCCTATTTTACAAATTTACTCGCAATCTTTATCAAGGCGATAAGATATCTCAAACCACAAATAACTTGTAAATTTAAATATTCAAACACCATGTTAAGAATTTGTTTTAAAAACTTGATTAAAGCAATCAACTTTCGAGATAAAAAACGGTCACAGACTATCCCTAATGATGATTATTTTCTCATTCAGACTAAAAAAGTAATAAATAAGTCACATATGTTTCAGCATACACCTCTTCGTGCCTAGCCAAAGACACGATTTGATAAGTTTGCGAAGTTTTAATGTAATTCGAAGTTTTGAAGTGGGTCAAAATACGTTCAAAGATTCCGTTACATACATAACAAGCTAATAAAAGCGTGTTAAAAATTATCTATATTTAATTATCTTATTAGAAACCCCAGTTTTTATTTAACGATTAGGAATTATTTTTTATCCCAACAAATATAGTATACACACCTATTCATAGATATGAATACCTATTCATATCAATGAATAGGTAAGGACAGTTTTTTACATTTATTAATTTGAAACTTTGTGGATTAAATCGTTTTACACAATATAGTTCAAATGTTATTGCGATTAAGACCTATTTACCATCTAATAGATTATTACAACACAACAAAATATATACAATACTGTAAACTGTACTCGATGCAGTTATTTAGAACAGTTGAGATGTAAACAACCGAGGGTAAACTGAATAGTGTAGTAAGGTTGTTTATCTTTCCGTATTGATTGTATTGGCGTCGCTTTATTGACAATTGTAGAGACGTAATGGTTATATTAGAGTGCCAAGCAATATGAAGCGTTCTAGACGCCAAAGCACCGCCCCTGACATGTGTTTTATCAGGTGTACAATAATACAATATATGTAGGTACCGTTCGTTGTATGCACTCAAATGTTGGCTTGCGTTTACACCTCACCAGTGAGTATCGACTCTTTTAATACTTAAACTAGGTATTATATTTTTGTAGTAGTATTATATTTTGGTCTGTTATAATAGACCAGAAATTAAATTAAAGTTGACATATAAAATCACGTCACATTCAACTTTTATCAACAAAATGGTACTATGAATTAAAAATATTATAATTCTCAGTTCACCACCGTTTCGCAAACAATATTGCCAAAGTTTCCCTCTATAAATTTGTTGTGTAAAAAACAAAATAAATTTATTTATCTAATACCTTTAAACAAGCAATTTTTGTATATATGTATATACCTATATATATGTATAATCTGAATCTCGGAAACGGTTCCAACGATTTTCATGAAATTTAGTATGCAGTGGGTTTCGGGGGCGACTAATGGATGTAGCTAGGTTGAATTTTTAGAAAATTTACAAAAAAAACTGAACAAAGCTCGGTCATCCAGGTACCTATAATGACCAAATGAATGACTCCTGCTGAGCCTGTGTACTTGTGCGAAAGTACTCTCCCGTTCACTCACGGTAAGTACCTAAGGTTGAAATTAGCACTTAATTTCCCATTTGTAATGTATGTGTGTATGTAGTAAGGTTTACAACATAATTCGCAATATAAGTATATTTATCACATCAGATTAGATCTCTTAGTATAAGATAAAATTCGAAAGTGAGATAGTAAAAGATTAGTAATAACAAGTAGTTGTAATGTGGTAGCGTCGAGACACGTGAATGTTCTAATAAAATTGGTTTACAACTTCTACCAAGGATACGCAAACGTAACGGAAAATAACTCAGAATACCTTAGAGGAGGTACGATCAAAGGATTTACCCCGACATTATCTGTTTCTGACTGTCTTATCTCTGAATTGTTATATTATCCGTTATTAAGCTACAACTTGACAAAAATATTGTCTTACAATAACCCTGAGAAATTTACGTGTATAGGGAAAATAAATAAATAAAGAATATAGGCTTTAACGTAACATGTGTACTATGTTGTTAGATTTAAAACTATGATTCTACAAACATTTAACTAAAAGGATAGCAAAAAGACTATTGTTAGTCTAGCTTTTTCTAAGCTAATTTTATGAGATCCTGAAATAACTTTCTATCTTGCAGCATCAATTTAAAGATAGAAGTCAAGTGTAGAAGGGGCTTTTATTTGTGCTTAAATATCCAGATAAGTACATTCAATAATCTGATTAGTGATTTCTTATTTTTAGCTTTAAAGTTATCCAACTGTAAATACCGAGACTGAGAAAGACATTTTACGAGGCTTTCTGTGAAAATTATAGTTATTTTACGACGTCTCTTGTCTTTTATGGCCAAGACTCCAATTTGGTTTGTTAATTCGCAAATTGATAGTTATTAAAGTTGAATGGAGTTAAATGGAAGATCTCTTATCAGAGTTGTTCATTATGATTAGGGATTCGTTAAGGCTTATATGAATGCGTTAGAAAATTAATAAACAGGCGATAGACCATCGTACGAGTCCGATAATACGAAATAGTATCTAAACACTAAAGTATTTCATTTCAGATATAATTAAAAAGGCAACTTACCTTTTAATTCTGTATACGATTCCTGTTTTTATATAAAAATAAAAAGTATCATGTTTAAGCCCTGAAAGGAAAACACTTAAAACACTGGTATAAAATTAACCGGTCACGATTGACAAAAGAACCGCTTAATCTAAACCTACCTGATGACGTAATTTACGCAGACGACGCTGATGGGCTTCTGTTGCTTGTCGGTGATGACGGTAGCCTGTGTTTGGACCCATGCGAAGCCTCCGGTTTTCGCGAGGAAGCGATACTGCCCTGTCTCGCATTGTCCCTTGGAGAATACTGCAAAAATATTTCTATTATGAGAATACTACAAATTAGTATTTTGGATAAAATTAAATCAAAATAATTGAGTGAAAAATGACTAATAATTTTATTTTGTTGTAAAACGTTTAATACATACGTATTTATTTACGCAAGTAAATTTATCACATGAGCATATTCATTGCATAAGCAAATATGTAAAACGATCTAATTAATGATTACGAGATAACACAAAATAATGATAATCAAAAAGGTAATCAAACTTGTTGGGCAACTTTATAATGTCGTGTGTATATTTTACATGTCTTTTTACATTTTAAATAACTTTTCTTTTGATACTTATTGGATCAGTTTACAGGCAAAAGGCTTTTGTATAAGGTATTTTATCTAAACAATAATTCACTTATTACATTAAAACGCTTGTTTTATCTGTAATACAATTTGCATGATATCAACCGTTCTAGTTGTAATATTCTAAGAAATGGGTAAAAAAGTTAGAGAAGACGGGATCTGCATTACAGATGATTTCATGGACTGAAGAGAACATTAAGAAAGTTTCAGGTTTAGTGCGACTTGAAACAGAAACATCAACGCGCAAACGTTCTATAGAATTACTTTGAATCGAAATTAACCCAATTCAAATTATGTATTACATATATCAAATTACAGAAATTCTAAATCCAGATAGTGGGTAGCAATTGCAGCTAGAAGTATCATTACGATCTATTTCCATTGAAGATTCTCGAGGTGATATTGTCACCGTGTTGCAGCATTTTCCTGCCTGTAGAGACCAATTCAACAAAAGAGTCCTTTAATCAATACCCGTGTATTAGGAAAGGGATATCTGTAATCCCACGGGTTCTTTGCCAAAGAAATTTCTGTGCGCGCCTTAGACACGAGTTTGGCTATTTAGATGATATTTTTACTTTCAGTGAATTAAATGCTCCAAAAAAATAGTGGTGACATATAATCATAATGGCTATTTTGTTTTTGTAAATTAATATAAACAAATTAAAGGTTATTTTTAAGTCGTTACTATACGCAGGTAGGTAATTTTACATTTGAATAAGTCACTGACACCGTTCATGTTGAGGAACAAAATGTAATTAGCATTACACAGAAGAGAATAGATTATTGTAAATAAATACACTCAACCAAAACAAAACCACTAGTATATATTTGAACATAGCCCTGTCTATCAAAGAAACAATCTAATAGTTTCAAGGCTAAACTTAAATTGACAAACAATAGAGGGTAATTAAGATCAAGTCCTTCTAGAAATAAAACCTTTAGAGATATGACGACTAAATATATTTTTGTATGGCAATTCGGCACGCACGTAAGAGCTACAATGCCCCTGTTTATATTATATCATTGTGCCAATTCCGTTTTAAATTGAATGAAAGAGCTCTGCAAACTATTGGGTATCAATAATAAATAGGATGTTATCATACTTCAGAATAGCATTATTAGTGACTGGTGACACAAGAAATGCAATTCAAAAATTACAAGTAATGCCTAAATTTACTAAGATATTTTCGTAAGACATTGCAGAACAGATTAACATTCTATCAATATTTTGATCATGTCAGAGACTCTGAGAACAGAATGAAGTTTTTAACTACGCAGAAATGACGGTCAGTTTCATCAAGCAACCTGAAGGCAAACTCTCGTAATAAAAGTCCGATCAACTTTCGATCTCACAACTGTCATAAAAGGTATTTTCGCAGTAAAGTATTAAACATCCAACGTTGACTGTAATGTGATAATATTGTATAGTAACTGAAAAGTGAATCGGTAATCTGCTAGTCTTAGTAATACTTTACTATTTTACTAAGAAAATATTTATTATGACAGTTGTGAGATCGAAAGTTGATCGGAACTGAATTGAGACTGAACTGTTATTACGAGAATTGGCCTTCTGAAAATAACTTGTAATGTGGCCAACTTTTTCTTCCTCAACAATGTAATACCGTTATATATTGCTTCGAGCTACAATCAGATGAATTGTTTATTAGAAATCAATAGTCACATGACAAAAACATGATGGTAGTTTATAATTTATCTTTTTACTTCTATAACAAGGCCGCATCTGATACGACACGAAACCGTTTCAAGACGATATCGAACCAATTTATGGTAGCTGCTTGTTCTTTGGTGTAATGGATATAGAGTCAAATATCTTCTACCAATGGACATATATCATTCTGCTGTCGGTTTGTACGAGAAACTAATAAAGATTAATAGTCTTGACACCAGGCGTAAGGATCGTAATAAGATCTGTCCCTTGCGACCACTTAATTCTTTCTTTGTGATATTAAAGTGAACGTTCTTTTGGGATGTACATATTTCCAGAGTGGAACTGATTAATAGTTTATTTAATATCCCGCCAGGCGCATTAATATTATAAATTTACTGCCTCTTAGAGTGGGAAACCGGGTGACATTTTGACTACGAAATAACATTACGGAATTCCTCGGCATTAATTTTTGATACTTTTACAATTTTTTCTTATAAATTATTGTAACATTCTAACCGAAATTGGAAAGTCCTTTTGAAAATCATAATGAGAATTACGAACGGATAACCATTATGAAAATATAACGGAATAATAGGTTGATAGTCATAGACTCGAAAGGGGACTGGATCTCAAATCTTAGTAGAATAAGAGACGATCCATTCGGCAAACATGAAATAGTGATGTTGTCCAGTGAATAAAACTTGGAAAGTTACATGAAAATACAGTTAAAAAGAGGTTAGTTTAAATTTTCAGTCATTCTTATAATATTCGAACAAGTTAAATAAACGTAATTTATTAATATTATTTACAGAATATTTATTACAATACAATTTCTTCGTGTTAGCAAGGTGTAAACAATTCTCGTTGAGTTCAACTATATTATTTATTAAAGTACACAGGCATTCTGCCTCTTACTTTGACTCAGCTTTCTCATTACAGTTTCATATGGCCGCGGCCGTCTACAATTTCAGGTATGCAAAACATCTGTCTAGCCTACTACAAGAATTTTCTTTATGCAAACTAAAAGGAAAATCTCTGTAAACTTGTGCCTTTTTAAATATACTTTGTGATAAAAAATATTTTAATTAAAAAAAATACGGACAAGTGCGAGTCGGACTCGCCCATTGAGGGTCCGTACACATTTGTGTCATGTTATAAATAGTTCAGGAATAATGATAATTCAGTTTCCAAAATATGTAATTACTTATAATCTTGAGTTTTATAAGAGAAATCCTATAAGGGTTCCGTTTTGAGGTACGGAACCCTAAAAATATGCATGTTGAATATCAAGACGGAGTACAGAACGTAATCACAGGAAGAAGTGAAAGGGTTGACCTTATACATGTATGTTATGTAATAAATCGTCAATGTTGATTACATTGACGATTGAGAATAAATTATGTCAATAACGGTTCAAATTGCTACAGAACCTGATGAAGCTGGAAACCTTTTCCTATTCAGTTAGGCCAAGGGCCAAGTTGTTACATTACAGTATCAGTCAAAAGACGTGAAGTTATCAAGTCTCTAAAACTACTCTACACAGAACATGCCAGAATTATCATCGAACCCAACACTGAACTTTATTTTAGTAATAAGTTTAAATATTGAATAAAATAGGCAAAGGGTATTGATATGTTTAATGTATTGGGAATTTTGTACAGATTTAGCAATGATGTTATTGGACTGACTATTTACAAAATAATCCTGATAAATTCGTATGGAAAGATAAGCACTGTAATATAAGAGAACATCTAATATAAGTCATTAAAAGATATTTTAGATAATTAAATAATCTATACTAATATTATAAAGCTGAAGAGTTTGTTTGTTTGTTTGAACGCGCTTATCTCAGGAACTACTGGTCCGATTTGAAAAATTCTTTCAGTGTTAGATAGCCCATTTATCGAGGAAGGGTATAGGCTATATATCATCACGCTAAGACCAATAGGAGCGGAGCACCAATGAAGAATGTTTCAAAAACGGAGTAAATTTATTACTATTGAGAGACGCAGACGAAGTTGCGCGGGTCAGCTAGTTTATAATAAAACTTACTAGAACTTGGGACTTACTGTCTCTTATTGGAAATGTGATTTAAGTCTACCAATGGTTCAATTAAAAATCATTAATTACTTCTGAGTTTTTTGTCAACATTTTTGATAGAATTTGGGACTATACTCTTTGAGTACTATATAATAGTATGAATCAAGATAGTGCATACACGTCAGCGATTAAAGGCACATAAATATTTTCTTGTTTTCTTAAAAATAAAACAGTTGGGACGTCGCCAAGATTTTAGTTAGCAACAGATTTCATAAAAACAAAGAAATAAATTTTATTACTCCGAGAGTTTACGTAAGTGCAATACATAAAATTAAGAAGACCGAATTGCATAATGGCAAGTAATTGTTGTTTTTTAGCAAATAAGTATGTTTGGATAATTAGTTGAACTATTACGTTTATTTATTTTAACGACGAAGAAATAAAACGTTTTTGTAGTGAACATAAAAACGAATTCGATGAAACGACTTAACGAAGACATTGGGACTTCCAATAAACATGGCAATGCACTCGCAAAAGGAAAAACAACAGATTGCCTATTTACTTAGCGGAAAGCAATAGTATCGATAAAGGTTCTTGCTACTGATTAAAATAATAAAAGCAACAACGTTGGGTCACGCAAAGCAAACTGTTAAGTAATGAATAAATAAAAGGTTTTTCAAAAAAGCTGTAATAGGAAATGCTTAACCTGAAGAAGAGGTACAATTCAACAACTTATTTTCCCTAGAACGGAAAAAAAGTACTTATTACAAGATAAACCCTTTAAGTTGAACCGACTTTAAACAATACTAACAAAGAACACTAAAAACCTAGCAGCAATCGCGGTTGATTTGCTGTCATTTTTTGAAGAGTTATAGTTGTCTGTCTCCGAAACTCATCATCAGGTCTATATGAAATTATAAATGGGACCATTTCGGAATAAACCCCTTTCGAACAAAAG